ATAAGTAATGGTTTTAGCTTATTACGAAGAAAAGAGACGTAAATACGTTGACTTATGTAGCATTCATGACAGCCAACCACCCATACCGTGGATCAACGCATGACCATGAACCAATCTTCATCTCGTAGACTTAACTTATCCCCCGTCAATAAAAAAGGATCTTTCTTATTGTTGGTAGCATTCCTCCTATAGAGGCTCTCATTAACCACGTTCGCGCTCTGACTTCGAAAAACCACCAATGTACCTTCTACTTTATTGATATAACCATAAGGGTTGTACTTAATTATTCCTCCCTGTAATCAAAATTCCTTTTCTTTTTCAAAATTGGTAATAAACTAATGTTTATTTATGTAAATTCGTTAATTTTCATTAAATTATATTGTCTTCTACCTGTCTGATTAGCTGTTTTTTATAGATAGAAATTTAATCTCATTGATATAATTAAACCACTAACCGAAATAATAAACGTCATAGGTATTCTCCATGTTTTATTTGTACACCTTTATATCTGACCATAGATATCTGTTTTCAGGAAAAATTTTAACAGAAAATAAAGTTTTATAATTGGGGAGAAAAAAGCCCAAATGATACAAAAGTAATTCTCTGTGAGATAGAGTTGCACAATCTACCATCCATTTTAGGTTATTTGATATTAGATGAAAAGTTTATATTTAATGTAAATTAACACATTCTACTGTTTTGGATGGGTAGTAGCATTCTGTCTTTCTAGTTTATTTCAGTAACTTACAGGATATTTTTGTACAACGACCAACAAATCTAAAAAACCAACAGTTAGCACAAACCTAGGTTATGCTGATTCTGTAAAATAATAAGTTGATCACATTTTATGATCTGTAACGATACATTAAAACGTTATTGGAAATTCTGTCAATATAAACGATACAATCTGACTAATTGATCTAATCCTACTGCTGGTTCGGTCACATTGTACTTGCAGTATTTTGTATATAACTTTCAAACCGTGGGTGGAAGTTCAGAGATGGTTTACATTACTGACTCATTTCAGTCGAACAACTATTGAAAATCATGAAGAACTGAATAATCGTTTCTTTTTTACATGGAATCACTCAGGAGTGAACACCCACTATTACAAAGGGGCCAAACTACTGACCTTTGGGTTGCATATACAGCATATTACCTGAGACCATTAATTCAGAATTCAGTGGTTCAGTCTGGTTGCGGCATTGCTCAACCATTATCCGCTGACATCAGAGTTATCTCATTCTAGAAAACATGAATATTTGGTTAATGGTACGGCTAATATCAAGAAACATATCACTGGTGTGTCCATTAAGAATGTGACGGTCTATAAACATCTAGTTGGTAGGTGAATTATTTGTACATCATTAATCCTAATGATGTATATAGAAGTATTTATGTTGATTACTTATTCGCTTTGCAGTGCCCGGTACAGAAACACCCAGTATTTCGAACTAATAATAGACATACTTTTATAGTTTTGATATTTCTTTCACTATAAAAGAATAAAATCCATTATGGCTACTAGAACAAACAGGGTTTATTTTTTGTCCTCATCAAGAGCTTTGTGTAGGTCATGAGGACCAAATACCCTTTGACATCCTCTCACTTTGAGCTACGTCCGAATTTCTCCTATGTTAGATGGCTCAGTATTCATTAATTATAGTGAATAGGATAGAAACTATGATCAACTGAATTTCTAGCAAAATGTTACCGAACAATTAGGAATACTGATGACAGAAATCTAATCTACTTCATAAATCTTCACAAACAGCCTGATACCATCATCGAGTATGATTAACTTATTAATCATAGTGGTATTCTGTGATCAAGTTCGGAATTCTTTTTCGAGACTTTCTAATGATTCTGTAGGAGTGGACCGACTTTAATCTTAAAGTGTCAAGTATTTGATACATATTGTGTTCATATGCGTGACGGTTATTTAAAGTGGTAATTTGTCTTAATCAGAACATTCATTCAGTTTTCTTATTGTTCAATTTTAATAAAACTCATGAACCTATAAGTGCTAGACCACCATAGAAAACCTGAAAGCACTGGATAGCCGCTTCGTCACAGTTTGGGACTCTTCAGCAGTGCCAATACACGATCGCAAACGCGAGATTCGAGTCCAGAAAATTCGATCTTGCGCGCGAACGCTTAACTTCTAGACCGCTGAGCCCAGATCTAACGGTGTTAACGTTTCAGGCTAACCAGTTCATTATACTGAGCGACCATCTTTCATTGTTTTCAATGGGTAACAGTATCATACCCAACACAGTTGAATTCCACTGGTCACGACTTCTGCCGAACGAGAACAGAGGAAGTCAAGGCACAAGCTCAATAAACAGAAGCAAACAAGCGAGTGAAGAGTAGCATTAGAGCTGACAAGCAGAAATACGTGGAAGACATAACAAGCAATGAGTAGAATTATTCAAGGAACTCGTGAATGGGCCAGCTTCATCGAGTCCATTGGACATCGAAGCAGCACACTGACCCTCCGATAGATGTCACTACACCAACGATCGGAGAAATCAGGATGGCCATCAGACAAATCAGGAGTGAGAAAGCTGTAGGACATGACAATATACCAACCGAAGCACTGAAGTCACACATAGAAGTAATTGAAGATATGCTCCGCGTTCTATTCAGGATGATTTAGGAGGATCTGATGCAGATGTAAAAGCGAAGATAGGCAAAGCAACCACAGCATTCCTACAATCCAACAACATATGGAACTAAAAACAACTCTCTGGAACACAAATTAAAACTCAGAATATTCAATATCAACGTCAACACTGTTCTACCGTACGTAGTCGAAATTCAGAGAACCATCACAAACGTCATCAAATAAGTACAAGTATTTATAAACAATCGTCACCGAAATATACTGAATCTCCGTTGGCCCCATACTGTCAGCAACAGACTACTATGTGAGAGAGCAAACCAGATTCCATCTGAAGGAAAAATTAGGAAAACACGTTGTAGGTGGATAGGATACATACTATGGAAATCATCAAATTACATCACGAGCAAGAGTTAACTTTGAATCCTGAGTGGAAGAGGAAAAGAAGAAGATCGAGTGACACATTGAGTCGGGAACTAGAGTCAGACATTAAAAGAACGAATAGCAATTGGAACCAAATGGAAGAGAATGTCCAGGACAGAGTTGGATGGAGAATATTGGTGAATGACTATGTTCCTTCACGAAGAGGAACTGGCGTAAGTTAAGTAAGTCAAACGACCTATATAAATGATAGATCTGTTAACAACAATGATAACTATTCGAAAGTGATCATCAAATTTATTTTGTATGTGTTCAAAGACTTATTTAAATGAGTTTCTGTCTATTGTCCTAATGTACTGATTGTTACAACTGCAATACAACAAGTTAATTAAACTGGACATTACCTCTTGTACTTCATCCTATATGAAATGATCAACTTAGCAATAAGTCAGTACAATGTTATTCAATGATCTAACAATTATTCTGAGAGTTCAAGTCGACCCCTTCAAATACTCATTGTCTATTGAAGTTACTTTAGTATTTGTGTGGTTGCTCTCAAAAACACCATCTTAACAAGATTAGTTTAATACAATTTTGCACGGTAGATATTGATCCAGACAATAAATTTTGTTTTATAGGAAATCAAGTTGAATCATTATTTTATGTGATACGTAAATCTCTAAAATTCATCTTAATCAACAAATCATTTTCAAATGAATTGACAACCATTTATTTGATTAATCTTGAATGATTCACATATGATAAAAGAATCCTTGAAGAACATCATATGAATTTGTATTTATATTTCAGTTGTATTTTTGAGAAAAATTTCACACTTGATGAACTGATCATAACTACACATCTATTTACTAGTACTATTTCCGATCAAAATATAGTTAAGCATTTTTCAGCTGTAAAGATTATAAATTGTCTAGTTTTTTTTTTACATAAAACCAATCTTATCAACATTTATGTGATCTCCTCAAATAGAAGATACATAAATAAGGACTCCACATTGAAAAAGTTATATTACTCATGAATATATTGGCACCCAATTTCCTATTAACAAAATAAAGATGTATACAGTAACTTCTTTATTTACAGGCTTATTCAGTGAAACAATCTTTCGGCTGAGCTTGTAATCAGATAGGATTATTCACCAACAAAGTGCAAAGACTTTTCAGTTCTATGAATACCACAAAGAGCATATAGTCTTAGAATATATATATATATATATATATATATATATATATATATATATATATATATATATATATATATATATATATATATATATATATATATATATACATGATAGTTTGGTTCTTGCTGCCGACTTGTATCATTCCTACCTAACTTCTCTGAAATATATGGATTCGGATTTTTAAAAATGTGACAGATTACCTAAAAAAATGAAACAACTCTAGTTTTTTCACATTCGTGAACATATCCTTGTGTTTAATGATGAGTTGAAGCTTGCCAATAAATTGATTTTCACCTGAACAAATGTTCACGATTCAAACAGTTAATAACTAACGAAACTTCAACAAATATTGCATAAATAATTATTGATCTGGTGTTAAGTGGTTATAGTTAATAACCCAAGAGGTCTAGCTAGCTGACCTAGGCCGTATCTTTGTTGACATGTGAACATATATCAATGAAGTTACTACCAGGAAGTCTAGGTCACAAGTGACCCCCTATAGGATTACTATGTTCAAATAGATTGATCATTGAGTAATAACCTACCATATATTTGTTCGACCAAGTTTTCTTATACTGCTATAATTCATTTGAAACCATAAAACTGGGTGACATGACTTCGTATTCTATTGACAGTATTAGTTTCATTAAGATTCCGAATGCCTGTACTTAGTTAATAAGTGTCAACCAGTACGAAAAACTACGTTCAAACCTTTCCCCCCGACTTCTTCAAACCACCCTAACAGTAAACGGAAAATATGTCTTGTATTTGATTTTTATCAAAAGATTGAAATTCATTTTACTACAAGAATTTATTTTTAATAAACAATGTACAAAGGAATAATACAATACTGATCCCGATTGACTTAATCAGAATAATAATAGTAATAATAGTAACAATAATAATTATAACAATATAAATCAATAACAGCCTTCAAATTCTCGCATACAAATAAAAAAAAACCGTAGACTGTTCCATGTGTGAGTATGTGTTCGTCACAAAAAGCCAAGAAGATAATAAAAAACAAAGAGGACGGTTTAAGAAGAAAAGTGAAACGGGAAAAAAAATCTGTCAACAAGTGAATGTGTTTATTTGTTGCTTATTACTTTTGAGAAAAGAAAGAAAGATAATATAAATAAATAAACATACAAATATCAAATATGAACATGTGTACGTATGAATGTCTGTCTATATTTAGATATATAAATAGTTTCATATAACAAAATCAAGGCGCTCAATGAAATATTTATTCATATGTTTGAAACTTCATAGAGAAAAAGACCATAAAAGAGGCGGGTAGCAGAGAAAAAAACAATGATAATGACTGGATAGGACGATAACAATAACTAGAGAAATAAAACAGAAAACAAAACAGATAAGACGAAGTTAACAGGAGAAATTACACAAGGCGAAACTGAACAAAATGTATCAGATAACCATAACTATTTGGTTTATTCTTAATGAAGAAATCATTGACAAATAACGCTTCACGATGATAGTGAAGAAATAAAAGTGACTAGTCAAGAGAGAAGGGAATGAAAATAACTTAGTATGTAGTGAGATAACAGTAAACTGGTCTGCCTCACCTACATAAATTCTTTAGGCATAAAAATGAATCTGAAATAGAAATGAATCTAGAAAGAAAAAACCCAGGAATACAATATAAACAGTGGGAATTAATAATAGTATTAGTCGATTCAATCTACACCTACCCTCCTCCATCTGTGTGTAAGACAAAACAGAAGAGAAAAGGTAAACAAAAATTTCAGCAATTAAAGATTATTATATAACACTTTCAAAAGTTCGTTGTTTCATGAAACTTAATTAGTCTGTTCACATTATAATTAAATTTTTAAAAAAAACCCAACTCGGTAGTCGTAAATAGAACAACTCTAATTGTATAAATGTATACATATATAAAGATTGCATAATAATATAGGATAATGAATGTGAATGAGTATGAGATGTACATGACGAAAACATATACATTCAACCAGTTATTGGATATGAACATAAATTACATGACTACTTTTTGGGAGGAGGGCATCATAAATACATGAGTGCACTTTTGATATGAAGATATTATTATTATTACCGCTGTTGATATTTTGACAAGATTTACACAATTATATCAATTGTTGAACTAACTGATCATTCAGTAAACAAGTACACAAACAACAGAAAGCGCAATTTATAGGACTTGATTTGTTAATTAATTTCATTATGTATCACACATTTGATAAGAAAAAAAACAACTTCAATAATTAAAAAATGGTGTTTACAAATTAGAAAAGATTTTCTGGAGAGCCAAAAGGACAACAAAACGAGGGTAAAACTTAGTTTTTTTTAGTAATCATTATACAAATAATAAGAGGAGATTACACTCAATTATGTATTGTGTTTTACGACTCCTATGTGTGTGTGTGTATGTGTTAAATATCTTCATAACAATAATGATAATGATAATAGAACTATAATAATCACAGGGAAAACAAATCAGAATTTTGTCAAATCAATCAAAAAAGTGGATGTATTCACAAAGAGAACAATATAACAATTGAATATTGAACCGTGCATATGTATAATATTGACTTTTCAAATTTTATCATTTATATGCTGAATCAAACAAAAAATGATTAAAATAAAAATTAGGGGAAACTCCAGCCGTAATAACAACACATGATTGGTTAACAATAGAAAAATTTCTGATTATTTAAGAAATATAGGAAAAACTTTTTCTACCTATTTGGGGTGATAGTGGTTGTTTGTTGTATTGTAAAATTGTTTAAATCTTTCATATTCTCGTCACCATGGTGATGATGAAAGTGATTTGGACTAGCAGGAGTAGTAGTAGTCAGAGCAGATTGATAATGATTGTTGGATATTGAATTATCTCTATTCGCTAATATAATTCCACCACTAGTAATACCACTGCCAGATCGTAAGCCAATTGTTCGAATCGGTATTAAATGTGTTCCCAGCGGTGGTTGTTGTTGTTGCGGTGCTGCTGCTGTTGCTGCCGGTGAAGTACCACCACCAGCAGTAAACGGTAAAAACACTGCAGGATTTTGATGAATTAAATTAGGAGAAATGTTATCATTATTATTAACATCGTTGTTATGTTTTTTATGTGTTAAATAATACATACCACTGGAATCTAAACTCTCCGAGAGGTTTTCATTATTTATACTACTACTTTGTGTATTGTTATGAGTATTATCGGATGATGTTGCTGCCGCCATCTGTACTGTTCCTGTGATAGGAGTAGATAATTTAGGAATACCATTAAAATTTAACTGACACTGATTTAAATCATTATTATAATTTGATGGCCAAAAACATGAGTTCATATGTTGTGGTACACAATAAGTTTCCATTAATTGCTTATATTTATTTGTTGTATCACAACTATCAAAAGTAGTTTTTGAGATGATAGAATTTCTAAGATCATTTGGACCTAAACTTATTGTTCCACTTCCTGTACCACTGAATAATGAAGCGCTTGCATATTCTGGCATTGGACTATCTACAACAAAGAATATGATATGAGAATAGAAATTAAAGTATGTCTACGTGTGTTAAATAATAAAAACATTAATTATTATGTTTTAAATATAACTAGTTAGTTTGTGGTTATTCGTGCAATCAGATTCCTGTTTCATACTACATGTGACTCATGGGTCGGATGTATTATCGTAAAGACGGTGTTCAACTCTTAAGCTTTTCCTAATTTAATTCTACAACATCGTGAGTTTTAAATTTATCCAATGAAATTATTTCTATATTTTATGAATAATTATTAACTCCTTGGTTTTTGAAAAACATTTAAATATAAAATTTATGTAAGAACTTCAGTGACATTAAAAATAGCATATAATGAACGAGAATAAGTGGCATGGACTCGTACTTATTTGTGTCAACTGTGAATATCTGAATTTCACAGATTGAAATCATGGGTCAATTGAAGCTAGACCACCAGCATCCGCGCGCAAAATCTAGGGTCCTGAGTTCGAGTCCCGTGAGGTGCAGGATCGTGGATGCGCACTGCTCAGGAGCCTCATACTAGGACGAAACAGTCGTCCAGTGCTTCCAGGTTTTCCATGATGGTCTAGCTTCAATTGACTCATGATTTCAATCTGTGAAATTTCTAAAATCTCCACAAACCCCTTCTGATAATATCTGAATTAACAGAACTTAGTAATAACTAAAATTACAACATATTAAAGTCGACATAATGACGTAATCGTGTATAGTTGCTTTTTAAATATATGATATCTGATTAAGTCCATACTTCTGATATAAATAAACTGCATTTACAATAACAAAATAAGAATATTGCCTCTATCATTAAAATGATTTTAAATTATTAAAATATTTAATTTATTCAAATATTTAATCTACACAAATAAACAATTCGGTCAAACTAACCAGTTAGTCAGTAGTTATCAACAATATAAAACTAAAAACACAAATAATATGTTCAATGAAGAAAGGTTGTTTTTACATTAACACATAAACAAAAAGTAATAGCCTATGTTCGAGTATTTTCATCATGCCTTAGATTCAAATTTTCTAAATTCTTTAAAACTGCTTTTCATTATTTCCCTAATTTATATTTCCTTCTCAAATTGTTTCTCTAATGTTTTACATTTTCTATTCCCATTAATATAGTTACTAACTCTACTACTTCGGGATTCTCATTGACAATTTCATTTCTTTGTGTTAATGGGTTATAATAGCTTGAACCGATGTACACATGTGTCAGGTACTATGTTGCATTTGACTAAATTTGAAGTTTGGAATCAACACACAACATACATACAGAGTGAACATTATAAAATCAAACTCAATACATAATTCATGCAGACTTGAAGAACTTGTATGGGCATTTTTTTACCATAAATTATCATCCATTACAGAATCGTTGAAAACTACTAAAGAATGGTAGAACGACTGTCAACTTATTAATTTAAGTATTTGTAAAAATGTAATATTATGAAGAGCATGAATCGATCGATGTTAGCCCACCATTGAAAACATGAGAGCACTGGACGTCCGTTTCTTTCTAGTTTGAGACTCCTCGGCAGTGCGCATCCACGATTCCGCACGTGGGACTCGAACCCAGGACCCTAGATCTTGCGCGCGAATGCTGAGCCGGTAGTTACTCGCTGAAGACAATGGTGGACGGTCTCTCAATATAGTGGGTTGGTTGAAGTTAGACATTAACACCGTCAGATGCCGGCTCAGTGGTTTAGAGGTTAAGTATTCGTGCGCGATACCAAAGGTCCTGGGTTCAAATCCTGGGTATTGGATCGTGGGCGAGCACTTCTGAGGAGTTTCATACTGGGACAAAACGGCCGTTCAGCGCTTTCAGGTTTTTAATGGTAGTCTAACATCGATCGATTCATGGTCTCAATTAAAAACTTAACAACCACCCACAATCCCATACTGATAATATTAGTCAATCATCCTAGAATACTCTGGGCATCATAATTATTGGATTGTTTAGACTCATTCAGCTTTCAGCAAACTTTCAATCATATTACAATAATTATCTAGTATCATCGATAAGTACCTATTTTACTCTCCAATTGATTGTCTTCCTCTAAACACATCACTGCTTTCACTCCCCTACCCATCATTAAATAGAGAATATTCATCTCAATTATTGTTTTAATCCTTATGACCTTATTCTACTTTTCCAACTGTTACAACGCTAGCTTATTATTATGACTACTATTATCATCACGAATAAGTGTGAATAGTTAAATCAAGACGAATAATCGGAAGAGATGAGACTTTTAGAACTATTCCGAGGAAAATTATCATAAATATGCTTATTGTGTATTAATTAAATATTTCGTTAATTTATAGTATTATTATATGGCTTTTATTGTGAGTAATCATTTATTAACCATTACCATTTGTAAACTATCGTTAATTAATAATTCACTTATTACTACTCAGTTTTACACTACATATGACCACCATCTATTTAATATAGGGAATTATGTTTTCCTATTTTTATTAAGTTGTAAGGCTCGTGACCGATGCATATATTCATGAGTTTCTGAGTAAAAATAACAATATTATACAATAATTAAAAGTAGATAAGCTTGTTATTCTCGTCTTTTAATTGACCATCGAGGATAGGAGTTGTGGAGACCAATAGGAGTTATGATATTAAGTCGCCCTTGTTGACGATTAGTTGTGTTGTTAGTCAAGTGAAAGTCATTGGTTTGATAGGCATTAAGTGAACGCTTCATTAGTGAGCTTTTTGTCACGTGATCCAATTAAGTAAGTGATACAAGAAGCTGGATTAAAAACAAAAATGGTTTCTTATGATTTAGAAAAAAAATATTTACTCTAACATAAAACTCGTATGTGCTGGTGACTTGGATCTTCTCATTGATGTTTACGACAGAAACTGATCAATCTCTTTTTTCGTATACATGCATCTTGTGAGGATTGCTGCGATATTCCAATTCAGTCGCAAGCATTTTAAGAGGATAGAGATGATAGCTAGGAATGGAATCCCAAACACGCATTTCGTCCTGTTCGGGACTTATCAGATTAATGTATTTGTATCACAGAGTTGACGCTCATTCAATTGCAATTCTAAACATCAACCAATATATATGAATTAAAATTCGCCCCATTGCACAAATTGGCTATCTGGACTCAGTAGCTGAACGGATAATTCGGTGATTTTTGGAGCGAATGATACTGAGTTCCACTCTCGGAGTGAACATCAATTCTGGAATGCAGATACATCCAGTTGATGAGTGCCAAACAGGACAAAGTGAGCGTCATGGATTTCTCTGTTAGCCACTACTCATCTTTCCTTAACATTTAACCGTTGATAATTTTCACCTGAATATCTGCCATACATATCTAGAGAATTTATTTATTAGTAATGATAATAATAATGATCATAATTATCCTACAGTATTCTACGAAGTCAATAATTAATTTTTCGTGTAAATAAGAGGAAAGTAAATTACAGAATTGCATATAACACTCATAACTAAATATATGGATGGATAGATAGATAGATAGATAGATAGATAGATAGATAGATAGATAGATAGATAGATAGATAGATAGATAGATAGATAGATAGATAGATAGATAGATAGATATCGATGGGTATATACAACATACCTATGGATAGTATAAAGCTATTTTCATTTGGATATGCTTGTGAGGCGAACGATGACGATACAGCGGCTGCGGTAACAGCATACGGGAAAACAGGCGACAATGATGTATTAATCAAAAGGCGATTGCTTGCATTATTCAAATCCGATGACAAATTCGGCAGAGGTGGTAACGGTTGATCTGGTGGAGGAGGAGGTGGAGGCAACGATGAATGCGGGGCAACAAAAGTGGTATTCATTACACCGTTGTTGACATTATTGTTACTGTTTTGTGAACAGAGTAGATTACCTTTTAGTTGAGATGCAAAATTACAACTTGTCGGTGGTAAATTTACACCGATTAATTTATTATCTGTTCCTAGTGTAACCATTGGATGTACCGTGAAAACACCAGGACTATTGTTATTATTACTATTATTGTCAGATAATCCACGACGAGCTAATGTTAAACCATTTAATGCAGAAAAATTCGATCCAACCGTAGGACCATGTTGTAATAATTGAAAAGCTAGCAAACCATCTAGAATGTATGTTTTTACAAAAGAAAATATCGACATTTTGTGGTTTAAAATAATATAAGAAATTTAGAAAATAATTCAATATTCCTTTTAAAAAAACTCACATTACGGACTGGATTTGATTAGACAGAAAGCAAAACACTAGACATCTGTTTGCTCCTATTACGGGACTCCTCAGTAGTTCATGACCCACAGTCTCATCGGGGATTGAATCCAGGACCTTCAAGCTTCGCGATGCATATTTAACCTTCAAACGAATAATTTATATTCCTAAAGTCATTTATTTGCTATACTATTACAAAACAACTGTCCAATGCCTCCTAGTTTGCAATGGTTGTCTAACCAAAGACAGTTCGCAGTATGTAATCCAACAATCTATAAAACACTAAAATTAGCAAACAATGTTTAAAGTTAATCAGCAAGATACAAATCTGTGATTTGGTGGTTGCCAATATTCCTTTTTACGACTTGAATGAAACCCGTGCTTTCTTGCAGGTTCGATTTAAAATGCACTACGTTAACCGCAGAGTATTCAGACCTCATATACATTACAGGATTCATAATATGTTAGTCATCAATATTGATAGAATTCCATTGATTAACCTGTACAATGTAAATGGCGTAAATCATGAAACGTAGCAATTTCTCAAAAGAGAAACAACTGTCTTCTTCAGGAGTTATTAACAATCGAAATTCATTCGCACAATAAAGATTATAATCCCGATAAAACAATGTATACATGTTATCAACTAATCAAAAACACCCACTACTGTATTATCTTGGATTATTCAACTACCCTAACGACGAAAATACTACGTCAATCCAGTGCAACACACACACACTAGGCTCTTATCACAGGAATAACTTTGGAATACGCATAAGTTAAGTATAATAAAAGAAAACTACTTAAATAACATATGTTGAATTTAATTGTTATTTCCCAGCTGAAAGAGAAACATTAATGATTGTATTATCATTATTCTGTCTGCCGTTGGGGCATTCTTAAGTTCAAAACCGCATCAATTAATTGTGAACCAATAATACTGCTACTACAACAACTCACTGACTCACCATCTCTCTCTCTCTCAGTATCTGTCTGAATGTTGGTTAATAACCCAATCCTAATTATAATTGTCATACTAACTGATAAATATTATCTTGGATACAAGAATAAATAAGTAAGTAGTTGACCTACTTCTACTATTACTACTACCAATAACACACACCCCTCATGTAAACAGAATCAAGATATTATTTTCTCACATTATCAGTAGAATTTTTTATGATTGCAAATATTTATTGAGACACTTAAATTGCTAATAGGCAAAATAATCTACTGATTTGTAAAGCAACCAAATTATAATTTAGACAGAATTAAAATAACCCATAGACAGAATTCAAAAAGAATACATGAACACGTGTGTTTCTATGGTCGTGTATACACACATAAGTAGACGTGAATGTACTTAACTGGGAATGCTTTATTCATTCAATAATAAACTTATTTTATTTATGTGGAGATAAACGAATTTACAAGTAACCAGACTAAAGTAATCTTAGTTTCATACCATATTAAAGATACCCCACCCTTAACCTCCAACCAGTCTATAGTCAATCTTCCAGATAAAAAAAGAACCTCTTATGGTAATTACTATTACCACTATCAAGCTACCGGTTTATATATATTCACAATAAAATGTGTATTTACTTTTTAATTAACTTGTTATTCAATGATAATAATAATAATAAACGATGTAATAAACCATGTAGTGAAAAGAGGAAAACAACCAATCACATGACAGGTTTATTATGGAGCCAAAATACTTAATAAATCAACAAAGGCAGACAAACCAAGACGAGATAACACGAACAATAAAAACGACAACAACAGAAGAAAACTCCTTCAAGTCATCTGTAAAACTCGGTCGGTGAAATTGAGTTTATTACGTACGTCAAAAATATTCACTGAGAATGTAACAGTGTACAAGATATAACTATCTATGCTATATTTAGAGAAAAAACATGGGGGAGAATCACGATTCATTATTGATGAATGTAGCTCGGAAAGATAAAATGTATCAAATACAATTTAGACCAGAATTCATTTAACAAATACCTCATAATAACCACATTCAAATAATGTTGGTATGCCTATCATTAAAATGACTTCCATTACTTGAAGTGAAAATAACTAACTGATTTACATGTAAATCTTGTAATCTTTTTAGGTTAGGGTTATCCGCAATATTACGAATGTTCAGCATGTGTCTTTTAATCCTGTACTTTTCAGTCATTTACCCATTCATTTAGTGAATGAATCCTTAATATTATAGTAGTTTATATTAAGCCTCTGATGGCGTCCAAAACCGTCTATAATGATCATGTCAGTGTAGCACAGATCAATACATCAGACGAAAAATACAAATAACAGTATGAAAGTCAAGATTTGAAATAAAATCCTCAGTGAAAATTAAGCTCTTACATGGGCTGAATATCTTACTTGACCTACCTAGCCCATGTTTATTGAGCACTGAAAACATGACTCATAATGTCACCCTATAGAGGAGGCAAATCCTAATGAAATGGCTTAGACACATAAAAGGAACTAGGATTTGAAGCTGACTAAAGTCATTTTTCTATCAAGACTGATTAAGATAAATGCAAAAATATCATTTAGTTGAATGTGTCATTATGAGTCATTAAAAAAATGCATCAAATCAGTGACAATAGAGTAACACGCGATTAGTAGAATAAATGAGTCAGTCACAAAACAAATGACAAACTAATCACAGTGCGTCATTATCTATTGTAAATTGAACAAGGAGTATGACAATGATAGTAATGTATAAACAACTTGAACCCATATGGGAATGAAGTTAACAACTAAATAACCACAACTTCATTATCGTTATCAGATTACCTTGATCGATTCCATTAGTTGAATATGGAGCGCAAATTGTTCCAGTTGGATGATGATGAGTCAACATGTCAGAATAACCTTGAGAAAAAGCTCCAGTCAAATGATTATAATTACTATGCATATCCATAGCTGTTGGAGTTTGTAAGAGGCTGACAACATTAGAATGCACCATCTTATTACTATTATTGTTATTACTATGAATATCAGTAGCATAATGATTCCCATTAGACAATTTTAACTGGTTATACTGATGTAATGATGATGTATTGTTTAAGGCAGGAACAGAAGTCGGTGCGGATGTAGATGATGATAAACAAGAAGGAGGAGTAGACAGTGTAGACGACAAAGAATTTTGATTTTGTCCTGCTGTTGTAAGAAGTAAATGTTGATGGTGCATAGATGATTGTTTATCTAAAGTATGTGGAAGCTTTTGTTGTTTCTGCAATTTTTTCAAACGTCTCCTTCGGTAACGTTTCAATCGAAATATCATAAATGCAAAAAAGCATGCAAATGCAAATGAGCCTAAACAACAACATATAATCGCGATGATATATGGTACATTTGATCCTCTCAATTTGAATGTTGCACTAATTGGTGTGTCAAATGGTGAAGACGATGTTGATGACGCTGTGGACAATGTAACTTGGGCTAATGATACTGATGATGATGGCTTCTCAATGTCGAGATCTGTAAATAAGTCGAAAAATAACAGAAAATAATAACTGAGACAACATATAACATATTCACTAAGTACCTCTACAATGATATAAAATAACACTAGAAGTATAACCCTAATGAAGAACTTGATAGGATCTGTGTTGGAATCGCACAGTTATAGTCAATCAATAAAATGTTCAATGTATATATCACAACGAATGAACAATTAGAAAAGGATTTGTATCATTATAAGAAAGCTTCATGGAGGTCATGAAGTAAACTTGAATGGCCCTATATCTGACTCCAGTTAAATCGTATGCTCATTATAATCGAAATATACATGTCGCCAACCCTCGAATATTTTTCATCGACTTAAATCGCGATAGTGAACAACGGAATTAAACAAGTTAAATACAAGAATGGATTCTACGTATATTTCATACAATCATTGATTTGAACAGATAGTCACAAAGACGGAGTGAAAAGAGAGAAGCGGGACAAGGCGAAGTGATGCGCCGTGGAGAAGGCGAATTAGCCAACTCGTTTGGATCTTTTTATTTATTTATTTGAACACATAAATATTGGTACAAGGGGGTACCGAATACATATGTGCCCCAGTTCCATCGTAGCCGGTGACTAATAATTGGTTCGTACGCCATTTGTTTCTTCAGGACCCTAGAGCCCATGTGTACCATTGATTTGGAATCAGGGTTTTCCAAATCAAATAGGTGGATCTTCAGTATTCACCAACCCGGTTAAGGAGCCGGACATTCACTTTTTGTGCTCTTGATTTCGAAAAAAACACCCCGGTCGCAAGAATGCAGTGAGCAGAACTTCCGTAGCAGTGGCTGTATACGCATGGCCATGTGAGAGCATTTGGAGAGGGAGAGCTGACTCTTCCCACCCTCGGCCGTACCAGGGCATTTGGGGGAGTTTTAGTCTAGCTTGACACAATATTTATAGTCAAACCAAAAATAAATTACAGATACATAATGAATATGATAAGCAGATAACACATACGATCATATAAAAAACAGAGATAATAAGTGCCAAGGTCAAAATGTAGCTTGAGAAGAATGAATAGATTGGTCTGTTCAGACTCTAGAATAGCCTATATGGGCTTGACATAAAACCAGCCACTACAAAATCACTGCGTGGAATATTTATGTTAGTCAGAATACATATTGTTACTAATTTCTAGTTTTAGCTCATTTACCAGTGACAGGTCTTATGCTAGGTAATTGACAGAAAACCTTGAGACTAAGTTTCGTGTTTGTTAGCACTCTTCAGTAAGGTACAAATCATGTGGGAACTGATAATTCTTATGAGATTCAAACACGCGTCATCATCCAGTTTTACATTTTGAGACATTACCATTAAGAAATTCGGGTTGCGCCTGACCCCCGGTAAGACTAAGATATCTTTAAAAGCAGGTAATTCCTGAGTAGTAATTTAAGTCATGTATGTCTAGTCAGTTAGTGTTAAACGAATTCTATTAATGAAATCGCAATGTAACCACGAATGTGAGAGAGTATAAAGTTTAGGTCGAGGGTCTTTTGTTAACTACTTCCACCCTACAATATCTTAAAATAGTGCACTCAATGTCAAATCAATTAAATGTAATGGCCCACTGCAACTTGGTCGATTGAATTCGATTAACACTAAGTGATTAGACAAACATGACATTGGTGACTACTCAGTGATCAGTTATTTATACATGGTTATATATTCGGTTTTAAGGCAAACTATATGTATGAAAGTGTTAATAATAATACCCGATTGTCTAAATTAAGTTAAATGGAGAGGGGTTTTAACCTGTTAGCGGGACATAGACTGGATTAAAGCAAGCTCAATGCACGATTGCTTTGGTGCACTAGTCGATAGTTGGAGAATACTCTAGAATCTTCTCATGTGAAAAACTATAAATATACTGACGTTTTTCCCTATTGTGCTTCCTACTGGCTTCTTGCTTCCATCTAATCTTGTTATTTGGAATATAATCTCTTTCCTGTTCAACCGTGTTCTGATTTGGGGACTTGTCGAGTGAATCGATGTCCGAGAATACTAAACAATAGGAATAGCTGGGTCATAACCGTAAGAAAGAGATTATAACATAACCTGTGACTTACTTAATACCATTAGTTGACGACCGACTGCTTTACACACGAACAATTCATAAAAAAAAGCTGTAAGTATATGATCATACATCTTGAAGTAGAGGACAACTACCACATTTACCAAACATACATGGGTGCAACTGCTACACACCACACATAAGACATTTCTCTCTCCAAATATAATGTTATTTTAAACATCTTACCTTTTTGAACCGATGGCGAATTCTTCACTGATAAACTTTGTGCTTGATCGGTTGATGATGGTTTCGACATAATCAATAGTCTTTCCGCTTCTGAGTCAATATCAGTTGGATCAAAATCAGCAGTCTTTTGAATAGGATCATCAGACTGTTCTGTTTGTAAAACAACTTCATTTGACAAGTATGCTGAAATAGGTAAAAAGTAATATACATATATGTAAAAGTATATGTATAGGGATGTTAATTAAATAATCAAACTGTGTAAAAATTTATGTTTTATTATTTAATCACTGATATCGCTCTGCAAATGATTATATTCGTGTGTGTGATATGGTGAGCAGTGAGTGAATCAATCAGTTAGTCACAAACCCAGAACCTGGCACATTTCTTTATTGATTCGAGTTGCCTCACCACATTAGCACAACAATATGATATTACCAAGATAAATACCAGAATGTTGGGAGCAATAACAGTAATCAGTAATGGTAGGAAAGATTAGGTGTAGACAATAATTAAAGAATGAATTCGTCAGATAAAAAGTTTAGCTTTTACAACTCAAGATCTGAGGGAAGACAAAGAATGAAGGGCCCCGATCAGATGGTTTACATATACGTACATAACCAAGTTCAACAGTCAATAACTAAGTGGACGGTTTTGTTTTGACCGCCGCTAGTTTTCTTCCGAACTAACCTTATATCAGCAACATCGTGCATCGAAGTAAGTGTTTGTTGGGTATAAATGATACATAACTTAATCAGTTCAGTCGACGGAGATCCATTACCTCACCAACCAATTTACCCTCTTTGTTTAGTATCTTGTACCTAACGTCAAAGTTGTTCATTCGATTGTCTCAACCTACTCAGGAAATGATTCGACCGGATTTAAGTGAATGTTGTTCATTTGAAGAGTATAATCCTGAATGTGTTTAGAGATTTGTAGTGACAACATATTCATATTTAAACCATATTTAAACACATCATAAGTTCGTTTCAACGTGCAAAAATCACTTGCCACGAATACATGCACTAATAATAACTTTACCGTTTACGAATATTAAACTACACAGATTATCATTAGTTTGCTGCTTCTTTCGCATTACCATACTGACTGAATTTTGTACATAATAAACAGTGTTATAATAGACATAATTATTTGAAAAGATGATAATTGTCAACTCATTTAAATACATATAAATAAACAATTCAATTAATAATCATATCACAACTTAAGGAATAAATATGTTTTTTTTTCAAAAAAAATCTGTTCACTTCTACATAAATATGTTTATTTACAAAATCGAAAATGTGGTCACGTACAACCATCCTGTATGCAAATAACAAACTACTTACCTACCTATATGTGCATACCATGTAAACAAGTACAAACATACATATATTAGCAATTAGACAATCAAACAAACAGTATTAGTATTAGTCAACTCGCTAGACAATAGGAGACAATTTTGTACTTGAAGAAAACAAAAAGTAGATTGTCACAATTTGAAAATCACTTCTGAGTCTTGTTATTAAACAAGAAAATAAGAAGACAAAACAAAGGAGTCAACATGATTTGACGTTAACAAAACGAAAACAAACACACACATACATATATAGCGATAACAAAGTAAACAAATAAGTAAATAAACATTAACATTAAATATTGTTTTAAGTTGAAACATGTTTTCGTCTTAAAGAATATGTTTACAAATTTTTCAATTATTATCATTATCAGTAAAATTATTGTTATGTTTATTATTATTGTTGTTATCGGTATATATGTTCTTGGTGTCTATTTCTATCAGATATTTTAACTTTTTCATAAAAATACTACTAGTTTAACTTCCTCTTATTGATGATCACAATGAAGATGGTCATTATTAGCGACCTGTTTTAATATCTGGGCTACCTGTTCCTGTCATCTAGATATTTCAACAAGTTATCTGTTTTTCTGGGTGTTTTTTTTAACACATCCTTATGTCTATTAATCGCACAACCTATTCAGGCGCGTCAATGAAAAGTTTACAACCTTTCGCTGTACAATTTACAAAAAAGCCCAATCAGAGAAATTGTGGTTGCTAGCAATATATATCGAAAATAATGAACATTATTCATATGTTGGTTCCTAAACTGCTAATATCTAACTGGAGATCACTCTATATTTATCGTCGAGATCGATCAAGAAATAAGAAACGAAAACTTGTTGAAATACTTTGTGCTGTATTGTACCAAAAATATAATACTGAATAATAATAAATTGTATAATCACAGGTGACTAATTTCGAATGGTGATTTTTGAAGCTCTAATGAGAAGTTGTGACTGGTTGATGAATTGACCATCCACCACCAACGGCACTAAAGATGGTTAGGGAATATAATGAATTGATTTAAGTTAAACATGTAAACCACTGAATGCCGACTCAACGGTTCAAGAGCAAAATGACTGTTTTTGGTTTTCCGATTAAGATCAATTAGTGATATAAACGAAAATATTCAATAATCTTCACGATTCCCCTATACTAATGATTAGACCACACGAAATATTTATAAGCAATGGAAAGGAAGTCCTACTTAAGCTGTTCTATTAACTTAAGGATGATATTAGTAGTGAATTAGGGACGGATTCAGTCATTTGAATTCGAAAGATTTATATTCATGAAATCGAACCATTTGTTACGATTAAAAAAATGTATACATATGATGATTAGCCAGATACGTATGATACGGAATGTTCAGTAACTTAGTCAAGGCACTATACGTGAATAATGACGAGTCATCATCCATGAAATAGACGATTTTACTTCCATATTCTTATTTATATATTAGTGGTTTTGACAAAAATTATTTCTTTGATATGAAATTCGAGAAGAACTCGAGTAAAGCTTATAGGAATTCGTGAATGATACATATGAATCTTTGCTATCATCCAATGAAAATAATTCACAAGTCAGAATCCAGTAGGTGGTCAACACTCACAGCAGCAGATACATTTTATGACAGAATGTGATTAACATTCAATGTCATTGATGAATTACATTTCCCGATTAACCAACACCTCTAATGAGAAACTGTGATTCGTTTATAGAACAGATGGGATGTGTCTAATTGTGGGATCCAAGATGAGCACCTCATCTTACTTGGAGCTTGTCACTTGGATTTACCCGAAGCCCAGACTTGACCCTCAATCCAGAACTGGAACAGAATACAATTCGCTCTAAACGCCATCTGTTTATCAGTGAACCTACATAAACATACATATGTGTATAGTTGATGTGAATAACATACAAACGCAAGAGTAATTGACATATGCAGTTTAATAAATCAGTGCTGAAAATTATATCTTTCTCGAAACTCTAACTATTAGCGCCGTAATCAATAATATGCAAATACATAATTAACCACACACAAAAAAACTGGACAATCAAAAAAGTTGTTCTTTGATTTTTTTTATTTCAATTAAAATCATTTGCATGTGATTTTCCTCTGTCGCACTGATTATATATAAATACACATCAGTGGATAAGGTCAATCTTAGTAGTAGTGATAGTAATAATAATGAACAAATCCTTGGTTAAAGAATGATTTAATGCACACAAATTATATATTTATACATAGATTTGCATTTATCTTATACCATGATGAATTATTCATGCCTCTAGACAATTTATTCTTCATGTAGATGATTTGTTTGCTGTTTGTCCGTGTTCGCAGAGAAGGGTGGGGAAGAAATCAACTAATACCATTAAAAGATTGATATTAATTTACATGCCATGCGTAAAAAAATCAATCCCTTTCATTATTACCCTTTTCTCATTCTTCATAAGTCAACAATAACAAATGGAAGTGACAAAAACGAGAAATATGAAATATCTTTCCTCATTTTAAACGAGACCAGTGGCTAAAGAAGAAGTTGAATTTGATATTAGGTCATCATCACCACTGCACATGACCACCACCATTACTACTTTACTTGAGGTCATCAAACAGAAACGTTCATATTGATGAAGTAAAATTATAATTTATTACGACCTTAATATTATCAAGAAAAAAACTATAAAAACAAGCAATTATGCATTAGATGATGATTGAATTAAGGTCAACACACACACATGTTTACTGGTGTATTGTCCATTATGGTAAAGGAATAACACTAAACAATATAATTATAATTACGTAATCCTGCTCATCTGTTGATTTCAACTATAATCCCCAAAATAGTATAATCGACGTGACACAATAATATACTAGAAGGCATGACAACAGTTCAATGGCAATTCAATTGTTATGATGAAATATTGAGTATACAAGAACGCAGTTGAATAATTAAATATTAGCTAGAAAAAACTTGTGCATAGAGGAGGGTACTGATAATTAATCGTTCCAAGTCTGATATTTGTGTTGTTTTCATTCTTATTAAACTTTAACTATGATGTAATGTTAACCATCCAGTTCAGAGAACAAAACTCCACCAAAAAGGTTCCAAACTTTAAAAGAAATGGCTCAAAATCATTTGCAATGGCGTAGATGGATCCATTCATTTCCTTCCCCCCGAAATCTAAGCTTCTGAATTCTTCATAATTTTTATTTCACCAATTTATATTTTCTTGAAACGTACCTTTGATACTTAATCTTTTGTATTACCATCAATACTGGTACTACATCTACTACTCCGGGATTTGGTCTGAAAATTCCATCTATCCATGTTGCTGAGACATGGGAACTTCATCCGATTTACACAAGGATCAGGTTCTACGTTACAACTGAGTAACTGATTATTATCACTAAATATCAAGTCCCAAAAAGTGTGAACTTACCAAGTCGTTTGTTTAGAATGACTAATTACTACTATTACTACTACTACCACTGTAGTGTATGCTACTTATGTTGACAGATATAAGTAGTATGTAGCACCAATCGGAAGTGAAATGTTTACCAACAGAAGATTGAATTAAAGAGAACAGCAAAGGAAAGGGAGAGCAGTTATAACAACAATATGATCGGAAGAATCACAAAGCATGTAAAAGACAACTGAAAGGAGATGTGCAAATAATTTATTTAGTGTATAGTTCCCACATATTATCAAGATACTGTAATTTTGCATGGAATAATAAACTAGTTATCCTCACCAAGTTTTCATTCAAAACACTACTATTACTACTGTACAATTTCCCTCTATTATTATCATTAATT